TAAATTTATATTGCTTTACATAAGTTATTTCAGTAATGCATACCATGCACCTGTGATGGACATGATAAAGGCTGAGACCGAGAAGGAAATAAACAGGACAGTCACCTTAAAAATGATTTGTGTATGAGAGTATGAGGCATAGTAAGTCGATCCGCAGCGCATTTCACATGGGTTAGAGTCTTGCTCAATTTGTGCACCGATGTTCACAGCAGCACTATTCATGGTGGCCAGGACATGGAAGCAACCGAAGTGTCCTACGACAGGTGATTGGCTAAAGAAGCTGTGGGACATATATACAATGGAATATTACTCAGCCATGAGAAGAGATGAAATACTGCCATTTGCGACGACATGGATGGACCTCGAGATAATCATGCTAAGCGAAATAAGCCAGACTGAAAAGGATGAAAACCACATGGTATCACATATGTGGGATGTAAACCTAAAAGCAACAAAGGAACAGGAGAAACAAACAGAGACTCATGGACACGGACAATAGACTAGTGGTTACCAGAAGGGAGAGGGCAGAGGGGAGGGGGAAAATAAAAAAATAAAATGTTAAAAAAAATTATGTATATATAGTATGGAAAAAAATAATTTAAAAAAAGTATTTAAAAAAAAGAAAAAAAGAATCTTGCCCTATAGGGGTCTACATTCTAAGTCTGGCACCACCGAACAAGATAAACACAGAAGGGGCAAGCAGGCAAATGAAAAGTAAACATGGGAAAATGCACAAACAGAAAGATTAAATATTTACATCCATTGTGTACAAGACCATAGCTTTAAAAGAAATGCATTTGGGAGTTTGGGAAGAAGGGCGGGGTGGGGGTGTCAACAGAAAGGTATCTATTTAGAATGGGGTGGCACAGAAAACATTCTGCCAGCAAGTGTGATACACTCCTAAAAATAGTCTTAGTCTCTGTCTCTGTCTCTGTCACACACACACACACACACACACACACACACACTTTCTGAGGTTCCCCTCCTTTATTGATGTACAGGACTCCCGTGTGAGATTTTAGGGTTGCCACAGCAAACTACCACAAACCAGGGGCTTTGACCGACAGAAATGTGTGCTCTCACAGCTCTGGTAGCTAGAAGTCCAAAGTCGCGGTGCCAGCAGGGCTTGCTCCTTGTGGTGGGCTCTGAGGGAGAGTCTGTTCCGGGCCTCTCTCGGCTTCTGGTGTTGCCCACAAGCCTCGGTGTCCGTGGCTTGTGGGTGCATCGCTCCCCGCGCTGCCCGTGTCATCGCATGGCTGTCTTCCCTCAGCATCTGTGTGTCCTTCCATGGTGTTCTGTGTGTGTCTTCTTGTAAGGACACCAGTCATGTTGGATTCAGGACCCACCCTACTCCAGTGTGACCCTGTCTTAATAACATCTGCAATGATCCTATTTCCAAATGAGGTCACAGTTTGAGGTCCCAGGAAGAACGTGAACGTTGGGGGGACAAAATTCAAGCCAATATACTAATAGTTACTAGAAGGAAGGGGGGAGATGGATGGAGGGGAAATTAAATCATTTCTTCAATTTAAAAAATTTAAAAATAAATTTTAAAAAAGTCAACCCAATGTAAGTACCAGACAGCCTATATGATGCCTGCCCATCTTAGCAGACCAAATTGTGTATTGTTTAAGATTTTTATATACCGGGTTAACGGCATGCAAACTCTTCTTGGGACAAAAATGTGCATTTACCTATTGCACTGTGCAATGTGCAATTACATACTGATTTTACATATAATCTAAAAAATAAATAAAATCAGAGTGAATTTGACAATGACCATGTCCACACAGTGAAAACTGAAATTGAAATTTAGTAGTTCCTTGCTTAGTTTGATCTTTGTGAAAGTAGGTCAAAACTTTTCAGTTAAAAATGTACTATAGGGCCTGTTTTATGGAACTGACGGTCTTCAAGGGTCAAAGACAATGATCAGATGGTCACTGTCCCCTGTGCCATGTAGTCAAGCTGGTGTGAATTTCACTGCAGAAATGATCTATTCTTACAATAAGAATGGGCCTCAGAATCCAATCGATCACCCTTCAGGCTGAAATCCAAATTTCTTGGCGTGGCTCTCTAGGTCCTGGAGAGCCCCTGCCACCCTCCAGTCATCTCCGTCCATCTCCTTCCCTTCCTCATCTTGACCTCGTCTTCAGAACTACTTTTGGTGGACAACACAACTTCACCAAGCTGTGCCAACCTCTCTTTGCTTTTCTCCTGGCCAGTTCCTACTTCTTTTTTTTTTCATTATTCCTTTAGCTCTCACTTTAGAATTCACTCCCATCCCAGACCACAGCTCTCCCCGTGACAGTGGTTATCTGTCCCCCTAGAAGCTTCTATAGCACCTGTGCTCTGCCTCAGCACAGCACTCCTGGCCTGTAACGACTGCCCGATGAGCTGTCCGTATCCCACCTTAGGGTCCGTAGCCCACCCTAAGCCCAAGGGAGACAGCTGCAGCTTTGCCTGATTCACCTTTTCTCCCTGTTACTCAGCAGCTCAATAAATAGCTGTGGAATGAGTGAAGTAAATGGGAAAATGTATGTTAAGTGTAAGGAGAGCTAAGAGGAGCCTTTTACAGGAGCGTGTGCTTTTTTAAAAAAAGAAACTTTATAAACAATGTATACATGTATGCTTTACTACTTTACTACATTTTATATTGGTCATTACGGTTTCCATTTTATAAAGAAACAAGCAGGCCATCTTTTCTACCTATAACCAAGTGACAATCAGTGTTACTGGCTTTCGGAAGCCTGCGCATAGAGGGTCACACCTGTTTCTCACGGAGTCTCCAAAATCAAGAGATCAAAAGAGTAGCTGTCCACAGACAGGAAAATGTTGAAGGGAAAATGATTACAGAGTAGCATATACAGTATCGTACAGCAAACTCAAGAAACTGTAAAACTGTCAATCCGCCACTCCACATATGTGTAAAGTAACAACGTTCATCTTAATGTAAACATTGATGGTCCTTGGGCTGGGATGCCAATGACATTTACTTTCTTTGTATTTTTCTTTTTAACTTTTATAATGAATAGCTATCATTTTTACAAAAGTAATCAGGTTGTGTGTGGTTTTTTTTTTTTAAGTTTTTTTTCCTCCAAAATTATCCACTTTCTAGCTTTAATTATATTTAATTTTCCACTGTGATTTTTTTTCCTTTTCTTTCTCACTACCATCTTGTCTTGGAAGTATTAAAATAATGCCCACCATACCATGACGACGCCTGACTTGCATGGTCGGGCTCAGTGTTCTGTTTTATTCTTAGGGAAATCTGCCATCAAACAAAGCAAAAAGGGTTTTCCCAAGTGAAAATGAATGGTACTGCTCTCTTTCCCCTGCTCTTGATATGTTCATCACCTCCAACCGGTGCTCTGCCTGACACCTGTGGGAAGCTGTCTTCATCTGGTACAAATCTCTCACTCGTCTCTATGTGCCTGTCATCTAGAGTCCCCATTACATTGAACACAGTGAGTGCTCGATAGATATGTGTTGCACTGAGAAAGCAACAATCATTATTCCAACAGACTTTGTATGAGGAAGGGAGGCAGCAGGGAGGGAGGGGGAACGGAAGGACGGAACTTACATTCCAAGGGTCGTGGGTGACAGTCAGGGCCAACTCCACGGGCTTTGCTTTTCTGTCTCCCTGACCACTGGGGGGCTGGTTCCTTTCACTCCTGTGTCCATTTCTATTTGTCTGTAGGCCGCCAGCATCTTTCCCTTCCTTGTCTTGACCTGCCTCTGCCAGCTCAGTGACATCACTGTCATCGGAGTTGTCGCACTGTGCAGTCTCACATACCTGCAACCTGAAAGGCAAACAGGCCCACGGACACTGAACAGCACAGACAGATAAGGTGGCCAGAGAGGCAAAGGCTGACAGCCAGCCAGCAGGCTGGCGTGACAGTGCTGGCCACAGGGTAAACACGGTGCTGAGTCCCTCTGAAACGAGCGGAAAGGGCACCGGAGCCACCGCTTCATCAGGCGTTTGAAGTGGGTCGCTGTTGTCACCTGATTCACTGTCCTGTCACTGTCTCCGCAGTTTAAATGAAATTCTAGGGCCTGGCACATGTGTGTGTCCGTCATCTGCAGGACAAACAGGCCTGACTTCTGCCTGCCTGCAGCTTCCCCCGCCGCCAGTTCCAGCCATCCTTCTGTGACCTCATTCCTTGCCCGGGTTCCATGTGCCGCTCTGACTTCATCGACATCAGATCTGCTTCAGCTGCCGAGCTTCAGGGGCCGCCAGAGGCCGGGTCCTTTGCGGATAGCCTGGCGGGTGCTTTCAGGCCTGAACCCTCAGGGGCGGAGCCTCGGGCGCCTACTTCTCTAGGTAACAGAGACCCCTTGGTCGGTGTCGGGGCGCCCGGCTGCCGTTTCTGGGGCGTCTCTGCAGCCCGGTGGGGTACCCCCCCACCCCGTGTCTCCACAAGCCATGGACAGCAGAGCCCCTTCGGCGCAGGGGCTGCCGCAGCGCCTGTGGCCCGGCGCGGATGACCGGCGCGGAGCCGGAGAGCAGCGGCTGCTTGGCGGCCTGGCCGCAGCCCAAA